CCCCTCCCCGGCCCCCACAGCCCTGCACAGCCCTTTCCACCCCACCCTCCCTCCACAGCCCCACTCGGTCCACCTGCCACAGACAGCAAGGGGAGGGGCTGCCACGGCTGTGCAGCTCCACCCCAGGGACCTGGCGGCCTGGCCTTCTTTGCGGCTGATCCCAGACATCCCGGCTAACAGAGGGTCAGCAGAGGGGCATAGGTGAGCCAGACCAAGCAGGTCAGGTTGCGGGGCTGACAGCTGGTGGCCTGGGGACAGCCCCACTCGGTCCACCTGCCACAGACAGCAAGGGGAGGGGCTGCCACGGCTGTGCAGCTCCACCCCAGGGACCTGGCGGCCTGGCCTTCTTTGCGGCTGATCCCAGACATCCCGGCTAACAGAGGGTCAGCAGAGGGGCATAGGTGAGCCAGACCAAGCAGGTCAGGTTGCGGGGCTGACAGCTGGTGGCCTGGGGGGCACCCCATGGCCACTTACAGCCTTGAGGGGAGCATGATCCGGCCACCTAGCTCGGGGCTCAGCGCTAGTCCGGACCCTGGCTGTGCCCACACCAGGCAGCTGGGGGTGGAGGGGCAGCTGTGGTCCCACCAGAACTGAGTGACTGCCTTCTGGGCCAGGGGTTTCTATGGCTTGACCACCCTAGAAACAGGCTCAGGGGCTGAAAAGCATCCCACTCATCACCTCCAGCTGCCTGAGCCTGTCATCCAGCTCTCAGGCTGCCGCCAGGCCAGGAGCACACAGCTCCCCATGGTCCAGCCTGCCCTGGGGTGCCCAGGGCCTCCTGACAGCCCCGGGGCTCTGGGAGACTAAGCGCGCGAGAACCCTGCAGCCAGCTCCCTGAAGCACCTACCTGAGGACCATGTGGGGACTTTGCTTCCAGTGAAGCAAAGCCCAGGAGGAAGGGCCCCTGGCCAGGCCCGCCCCCAGGGCCTGTAGCCTGGCCTTCCGCTCCCCCCCTGCCCGGCCCCGCCCCGCCCATGCCGCACTCACGTTGGGCGAGGGCTCCAGCATGTTGTCGCCGTGCCAGCCCGAGATGGGCACGAAGGGCACGGTGGCGGGGTTGTAGCCGATCTTCTTGATGTAGGCGCTGACCTCCTTGACGATCTCGTCGTAGCGCTTCTCACTGTAGGCTGGCTCCGTGGAGTCCATCTTGTTGACGCCCACGATCAGCTGCTTCACACCCAGCGTGTAGGCCAGCAGTGCGTGCTCCCGGGTCTGCCCGTTCTTGGAGATGCCGGCCTCGAACTCGCCCACGCCCGCAGCCACGATCAGCACTGCGCAGTCCGCCTGCCGGCAGGGGCGCACCATAAGCCCTGCCCCAGGCCCTGCTGGAGACGGAGGCCTCTTCCAAGGCAGTGGGGGACCAGGCCCAGGCCCCACTTCGCCCGCAGCAGCACAAGTCCTGGACAAGTCGCTCACACCCGGGGACAGCGGGCAACCACGCCACGCACGGTCTGGAGAGAAGAGGCCCTGAGGGATCGGGACTCCAGGGCCTTCGTCCTGCTGCCGTGGGCACTGTCAGGTCTGTCTCACGCCGGTCTGGGCATCCCCTCCTGATAGGTACCTCCGCCTGTCCGGGGAGGGCCTGGCATCTACGTCTGCCTGGCTAAGCGTCCTCACAGAGCCCCTGGCCAAGGCACAGGGAGGCCCCTGGGGGAGGAGTGGTGGGCCGGGGACGCCTACCTGGGAGGTGCCTGTGATCATGTTCTTGATGAAGTCCCGGTGGCCGGGGGCGTCGATGATGGTGATGTAGTACTTGGTGGTCTCGAACTTCCAGAGCGAGATGTCGATGGTGATACCACGCTCTCGCTCGGCCTTCAGCTTGTCCAGCACCCAGGCATATTTGAAGGAGCCCTTTCCCATCTGGGTGGGGGGGACGCAGCTCAGAACAGGACCCAGCACACAGCAGCTATGGCCCCAGACCCCAGCCACGGGTCACAGCAGAGTGGCCCGGAGAGAGGAAGATGGCTCCAGCCCTCCTCGCTCCCCGTGGGGGTCCTGGACTTGACCCCGTCCCTCTGGTGCAGACACCCACACCCTGCCCTGCCCAGCCCTGCCCAGCCCAGCAGCCTAAGGCCAGTCCTAACGGTGCAGAACCACACGCCCACCAGCAGGTGGCGTGAGGGCCTGGAGTTGCTCTCCAGAGGAGCCGGAACCCCCTTTCTCTGAGGCAGGGACACTCCCCCCACCAAGACCCCTTCCTCGCCGAGGACAAGAATATCACTAGGTTTTGGGCTGTCAGTGAAATCAGTCTTCATCTTCTTATTTAAGGAAAGGAGAAAAGAAAGGCATCGGACGAGGCAGAAGGAGGCCTGGCTTTCCAGCTCTTTCCACCGCAGCCTCTCAAACAGGAGGTGCCTCCTCGAGGTCGCCCCCAGAGCAGTGGAGGTTTGGGGTCTCCCCAGGAGCAAGGCCAGGCTTCTCTCTGCAAATGCCTGGGGACTGCCACGGCCTGGGCCTGGCTGCAGCCCCAAACCAGAGGAAATCCCTCAACCAGGGCCACAGTCAGGCCTCTCTGCCCGAGGGGACCGGCTGGGACCAGGACTGGTGTCCTTTGAACTATTCGGTCTCCCCCTGCCATGCTACCGCAGACACAGAAGGTAATGTAGCTTTCTTTGGGGCCGGTTCAGCGGGGTGCAGTTCAGAACAGCCCACCCTACTGGACAGGGGTTCAGCCCAGCCCATGGCTGCCCCTCCTGGGCCTGGCCCAGCCCTGAGCCTGGGAGGCGGGCAGGGGTCCCACCCGTGTCAGCCCCAGGCAGGGCAGGTCAACAACTGGCTCCTCCCCCTCTGTAGCGAGGGGGCCCCGCCCCAGGACACCCCATGCAAGTGCTCTCCGCTCTCTGCTCTCCCAGTGCCCATCCGTCAGCTATTAATAACCCAAGTCCTGGCCCTGCCCCGGGACAAGTGAGGGCAGCCGGCTGCAGCCCCAGCCCAGCCTGGGGCAAGGGGGCAAGCCTCCTGGTGCCTGGAGCCCTGTTCAGCCTGGCAGAGTACCCCAGAGTCTGCTGAGGCCCATGCAGGGCAGGCCACCTCCCGGCAGATGGATGGCCGCCCCCGCCATCACCCGCACACGTCCTCAGGTGCCCTCGCCCCCACCCTGCCGGTCTTCCCTGGCCCCTCTGAGACATGCCTCCCACGGCAGAGCCCAGAGGAGGCAGCCCGCATGCCGGGCCAGGCAGCCCAGTCCAGCCCACAGGGCCTCTGGAGCCAGGGGCTCACCTCGGCCGCCTCCTTCTCGAACTTCTCGATGGTCCTCTTGTCGATGCCCCCGCACTTGTAGATGAGGTGGCCTGTGGTGGTGGACTTACCCGAGTCCACATGGCCGATGACCACGATGTTGATGTGGGTCTTCTCCTTGCCCATTCTGCCCAGGGGGTGGGGGGCTCGGCCTGGGGTGCTCTGGCTCAGGGCAAGGGGGTGCTGAGAGGTTCTGTGGGCCAGTGGGGAGACAGGTGCTGGGGAACTCGGGGCCGCAGATCCTGCCTGGAGCCAGTTGCAAGCACGCTAGCCACAGGCCCAGGCCAAACCTCATGCAGTGGGGGTACAGGCCCTGGCCCAGCCTACGCCCGCCCAGCACCTCAGCCTTAATGGTGCCACTGAGAACGTCTGGCGTCAGTGCCCGCGGCGCCCCCATGTTTGTGAGAAGCCCACCCCGCTCTGGAGAGCCCAGAAACGGCAGGCCTGGCAAGCCCAGGGCCAGCCCAAGCCTGGGTGATGAGTCACCTGCCGGCTCTCCAGTGCCCTGTCCTCCATGCTGGGCTGGGGACAGCGCCCCACCCCCACCTGCTGCCTCCCAGGCCATGGCCAGCTCCCCCCAGCAGGCGGGCGCCATCTTCCTTCAGCCTGCCCGGAGGCGCTGGCAGCGGGAGGTGGGCTGGGCTGTCTCCAGTGGGAACATGGTGCCCCCATGATGGGCCCAGGATTGCTGGGGCATTCCCAGCTGGCCTAGGGCAGTGGGGGCCCAGGTGGGGTCCCGGTCTGGCCCCAGCAACCTCAGCAAATCCAGAGTAAACAAGCCCTCCAGAGGGACTGGGAGCACCCTCCCTACCCCCTCCCTTCAGGGCAAGGCTCTGGGTCACAGTCCCTGCATTGTCCTGGAAGTCAGTGGAGAAGCCAGGTGGCCCAGGAGGGGGCAGGCTGCCGGGGATCGCACCCTGGGGTGGGGACAAGGTGGGGCGGGCTGAGGAAGCCCCCATGCACAGCCTCCACCAGCCTCCCTCGTTCCTCTGCAGCCAGGACTCTCATACCCCCAAAGGCCTGACCCTTACCAGCCCCCAGCGCTGTTGCCTGACCCAATCCCACAGGGCCCAGCTCGCCCCAGCCCCAAGGTCACGGCTGCAAGGCGATTCCCCCTCACC